AGTGTACCTCTGGTGCAAATTACTGACCTCTGTCATCATTTTAAGTGGGGGAACTTGCACAATCGGTGGCTGACTAAATACTTTTTTGCCCCACTGTATGTGGGATCAGCAAGGAATTTCAAAACATATGTGAGCAGTTGTGAACTTCAATGTGTGGCCAGTCTGCTGGTTAATTGCACATCATGGCTGATGTGCATTCCAAAGTTAACTTATGCAAGCAAGAGAAAGAAATCAGAATATATGGGTTCCATCACATGCAGGATTTGAAGGCAATAAAGGAGCTGATTATTTAGCCAAAAATTCAGTACATGAGCACAGAAGAGGATTTTATTTGCAGTATGGGCCAGCAGAATGCATGGAATTTATAAATAAATTACAAAATGAAAATGGCAAAATCTATGGGAAAATTATAAAAAGGTACCTTGAGGTAACCAAGGTTACAATTCAGTGATTTAACATAAGAGAAAATGTAGCACTGTGGACCATAAAGATATAAAATGGTCCTGTAAAAAATTAAAAAAGGGAAAATATGTAAGATCACATATGCAAGTGAAAGAAAAGTAAATTCTAAATACTGAGTAAGAAAGTCACATACTTAAAACCCATATATTATTGTTTAAAATGCTAAAGATGTAAATACTTGCCATTAGATGCCTCAGCAACAGAAAATTTGTATGGACTTCTTTTTAATTAACTGTCCTAAAAAAACAAATAACAAACAACAAATAAATCAGTCATCTATAACAAACATAATTATTATCTGACAAAGCAAAAATAAGCTCATGTACATCTGTCAATAAGCTTGTGAATAGCCTTATATGTCTTCTTCAATTTTATTATAATTACTTGAATCAGTTACTAAAAAATTCTTGAGTAAAAGCAAACACACATAAAATAAACCTGAATAACTGCACTTTTAAAGCTTATTTTAAATGATAAAGTGCATGAGAAATGTATTTAAGTTTGTCTATGAAATATTAGTTTTTCTTCTATATGACAAAAACTAAAACTAAATGATATGACATGATATCTGGAATGTGTTCTAGATGAGGAGGAATATAAGTTGTTACTTGATGTTTTTTTGAGGCTTTTTTCTGCCTGCTCTTTTGTGATGACATTCCAAGTTTCAGGAATATCAGCAGGTTCTGCCTTATATTCTTTGGCAAAGTCTTTGTTTTACTTTGCCATTACATATTTCCAGTGGTCTGATGCCTCAAGGCTCGAATCTGGAGGGATTTTCCAGTCTGGATAAATTTCTTTGTAACACTTGTAAGGGTGCTTTTTGTAGCACTGCATCTAAAACGGCCGTTACTGATCATGAGAGAAGAGCATATGTCAGTGACAAGTTTCTTTGTTACATGCCAAGTGTATTTACCCAGACCCTGTGGCCTATGCAGTGAAGCAGAGTGCTTAGTATGGACTTTTCCTCCTCCATCACATGGAAATTTGCAGAATGGACACTGTTTGCCACAACCAACCAGTTTGTTGAAAAACTCATTTTCAGGCTGCACATGGAGATGCTGTAGTTTCACTTCAAAGTTCAATGTTTGAAACTCTTTTCTCAGATCTTGTTCCATCTAATTCACAGACACTATGAGCCAGTCAGCAAACTGTTCTTGTCAGCATTGTTCAAAAACATGAAAGCACCAAGAGCAATGACCAGTTTATCACCAAGTTCTTTGTGAATATCTTCAGATGTTGTTGACACAGTTTTGGTTGAGTTTCCACTATTTGGTTGAGTATGTCTTTACATAATCCTGATATGAGAAAATATATTTATAGTAGTTTTTAAAATCCTCCTTCAAAAGCAGATCCAGTAAAATTGAACACTGGAAGGACATTTGTGTGCTGAACTGCTCACATGTCTTCATTTCATCAATGATTTTAGGACCCAGGGACTGATTGATAAAGTCTTGAACAGCAGGCTTCAAGCACTGGTTGGTGAATTCTTCTGCTTTCTTTTGGCATTGGTCTTCTTTATTAACCACATGTTTGAAGTCATCACAAAACCTGTCCTTGTTTTTAATCAAACATCTGTAGGGATCATTTTCTTTATGCACTTTTGTAAACTCTCTGGCAGCAATTCCACAGACATGCTGTTTTAGAAGAACTTCAAACTCATGGTCTGCCTTGACGTCTTGATTTTTCTCAAGGTTCTCATCTGTGATGTGTAGGATCTCCTACGTGTCACTGTACATTTTTTTCCTTCTCACTTTTTCTCTCACAAATTGATTGAAAGCATCAATGATGCTGTCAGCCAGTTTTTGTGCAGCCATTTTGTAATCTTGAATGTTGAAAATCTTTTCCATTTTGGCTGCTGCCTGGGTCATCTCGTTTAACTGTTCCAGGAGCAGTTTCCTGTCTCGTAAGTTCTTCTCACGGGCTGAAACATTGGACACATTCTGGTGAACAAACACACATTTAGGCTTTTTGCCCACCTCCTTCATCCTGAGAAAAGCATGCACAACTATTTGTAAGATGTCCTTCATTTCAGTTGAATTCTCCATTGCAATATTAACAATGGTGACATCACTCAACCCTACAACAAGTGTTGCAAGCTCATTGTCGTGCTCATAGCTGTTGTCTAGTTGTGCAAGTTCTGGTGACTTTAAGCCCTCAGTGTCAATGATCACCATGAAGTTACAGTTTAGGACTTTTTTCATGTCTTCATTGATTTTGATGAGCAACCTCGAGTACATCGACCACTGCTGACTGCAAACTGCACTCCAAACATGGTGTTAAGGAGAGTGGACTTTCCTGTGCCCTGAACTCCAAGAACTGTGACTACACGTATCTTTCTGTTTGGAGACACCAAGTCACTGAGCTGAGAGAGAACATCAGTCACCCATCTGAGAGGGATGTTGGATGCATCTCCATCTACAAGCTCAAGAGGAAATCCATCAAGCAACAACTCTGCACACAGTTTGGGCAGATGCTGCAGCTGTTGACGTGCTGGATCTGTTTGTGAAAGGGACAGTGAGGCTTCATAGATCTGACCCATTTCACAGAAGAAGTGTTCAATCCCCAGTGAGCTGTTGGAAATTTGTCTGTCAATTTCTTTGATCTCCTCTTTGTTCTCAGAGTTCTTACATTTTTCTTTATATTTCTCCCGAAGTTCCGACAGTTTTATACGAGACAGGTTATCGAGGTTCATTCGCATCCATTTCAGGAAATAAAACCTCTCTGTTCCTGGCCTTGATATTGCATTGATGAAACATGTCATAGCTGTCGACATGTTATAAGAGTTCTGCCTTTTCCGCAGTTCTTTTTTCTGTAGCTGAAGTTCACTTTTGTAATCTTCTATATTTTTGGAGCCAACTTTTTTAAGCTGAAATTCTTCCTTCTCTAAGCAGGTCAGTTCTTTCCATATTTCACCTTGCCGTGGAAGCTGATCTTCTTTGTATTTATGGATGTCTTGAATTTCAGCAGTGATGGCTTCTGCATTTGTCTTTGCAGTCTGGCACTCTGGAGAGTCTTCATCAACCAGGATTCCCAGTTCATGGGCAATTTCTGCCATCTGCTCTGTTTGCATCTTTATCTGTGAGTTCTCAACTACATCACTGATTGTTTTCCTCAAACTTTTGACAAAATCGGCATAATTTTTTTTTTTTTTAATAATGATGTTGTTGTTAGTCAAGTCCAACTTGGTTGCTACTGTTTCTAACGTATTTAAACTGAAGCTCTGGCTCTCATAGTTACCTACCAAGAAGATCTGTGCCTTGTGCTGTTGGTTAGTAAGTAGACTGCACTCAGAGTCCAAATGGTCAACGAACACAAAAACTGCTGCAGATGTCTGGCACAGAAAGGAGTATTGTGTTTCAAATGATTCAATGTCCCCACGAAGGTTAGCTACAGCCACTGGCTGACTGAAAATATCAATGTTTGTGTTTCCACAAGGAAGATACCAAGTAATTTCAGTCAGTCCGTTGGATATTCTTCTTGGACTGTCACCACACTCCATGTTGCGATGAACAAAGGTGTCATGGTACTGCTGAGAATTGCTCAGAAGTTTATTGAGAATCTCTGACTTGGACGAGGAGCACTCACCCAGTCTGACAAAAGAGATCATTGGAAGTTCAGAGAGAACAATTCTGTCTTCAATGAAGCCCTTGAATTCTGACCGAGACTGAGGTCTGTACTTTTTAACAATGTCTCTCATGGCCCACAGCATGAGTGTGCACTGTTTCGTGTCTTGATTGGAAAGCAGCAGAGGAACAGAGAACTGACACATGGACATTTTTAGTGACATTTCCTGCTGTAGAAAACCATCAGAATTGTTACACCCCTGAAAACAGGGGGAAAAGAATCACGAGAGTGATTATGACTTGCGTCTCTCATGGAGTAGTTTATTGCCGCGAAAATGAGCAGAAACGTTTCACATTCTGTACTGCTAAATGTCACATGGTGGAAGAAAAACACTAAATAATAAACCGAAATACTAAAGTGCTTACTATACATATACTTGAGCAGGTTTCCTGACAAAATGGCTGACAATCGCAGCATTTTTAGCTCCTGCAGTTATCTTAATGGCCATTACACAGTAGAAAACACAACTCAAAACCGCCACGTATATGTGCACAAAACTGTAATATAATGCTTCTAACGCTTACAAAACAATGAAGGATTATCTCTTAAATATCTTAACAGTGTACACATTGGAAATATATCAACTTTTAAACACTTTTTACCTGAAAACAGGGGGAAAAGAATCACGAGAGTGATTATGACTTGCGTCTCTCATGCAGTAGTTCATCGCAGTGAGGAGAACGCGCGAAAGCCCCCTAGTGGAGAATAGAGACACTACTAATCGATCCCAGAAAAGGCTTAGCCGATCGCTGATGTATAGATTGTATTTCTCTTAAGTAACATGAAAGCCATTAATATAACATGAAAAATAATAAACTCTTAACCATTTTCTTACCATATTTACATTATTTTCATCCTTATATCAACTGATATGAATTAGTATTAACTGAACAGTTTTATATGCAGTAGTCCTTCAACCTGTCACACTCTCCCCCACTCAAAAAATGTCGTCCCGACATTATACCAACAAGATGCTTTTCAGTCTATATTCTCTTGTAGTCAGGACATCAACAGTAGGGTGAACCAATGTCCTCAATTCTGTAGGTTTAACACCTGTTTCACCACAGTCCATCACTGGTGATTGAAGACAAAGTCTATAACCAGTCCATATGTGAGTCTTCACAAAGTCTATTGTCTATGGTTATAATCCACAGATGGGGAAAAGTTCATGTCTTTTTCTTGATGACAGTCTGTAAGTACAGTTCTCAAGTCATCAGTGAAAAAGTGTCAATTTACATTTGCTGGAGTCCATACAAACCAATGGGCTGGGTGCAGTATGACTGCACAGCTGGAAACCATGGAACCAGGCCCGGGTACACAGGAAGCAGTTACTGAACACTGTAGCAAGATGGGGTGCCCAGTTGGTCATATGTCATCCGTCTTGGTGGGTGTCTCTCTGGCTGTGGCCGCTGAGGTGTCTCCTCCTCAAGTCTCTCGAGTACAACAGGTGGAGGAGGGGCAGGTATGTCACCTTCAGTGGGCTCTGCCTCCTCACAAGTTGTCTCCACGGCAGCTGGGTCAGGCGCCTCCAGATGGTCTCCAGTAAGAGGCTCTGGTGTTGGTGCAAGAGTAGGGCCAGCAGTCTCTCATCAAGGTTTCGACATCAAGTGGCATTCTTGATAAAGCATCTGCATCACTGTTTTCCTTCCCTGGTTTGTACTTAATGGTGAAGTGAAAATCAGCGAGCTCAGCGACCCATCTTGATGTGGTGGCATTCAGTTTGGCTGTTGACAGAATGTACGTTAGCGGGTTGTTATCGCTATAGACAGTAAATGTTGGGGCATAGTACAAATAGTCTCTGAATTTGTCAGTGATAGCCCACTTCAATGCTAAAAATTCTAGTTTTCCTGCATGGAAGTGGTAGTTTTTTTCAGCCGCTGTTAGAGTACGGGAGCCATAAGCAATAACTCGCAGCTTACCATCTTGTCTCTGGTACAACACTGCGCCTAGC